GACGTTCTGTCACTTTAAAGAGATTTTCGAATGCTTATATAATTTCTGTCGCAACATATTTGATGGGAATATTTTTTTCAGTAAGTCTACCGCTCTTTAGGATTCTTTAATGGAATATCTCAACTTGGAACTTTGATTCCTCCAAAGGCAGGAACATACGTCAATTAACAAGTTCATGCAATGGTTCCTCTAACAATTACTTCCCCTACTTGAGTCAATATTCCAAGTGGACTGCACGCGCATGGTCGACTATTAGCGGAGGGATGCCAATATAAACTTCAAAAGTTACCAAGAGGAGAGCGTGCGACGAGAGAAATCATTCTGTGAAAGGTGATTCTATCTTTCCCTAATTGAAAACCCCCAACAAGCAAGTCAACCGGTGCTGAATCGAGGCCAAAAGAGACCAAAACTTCCACATTCATTTCGGAATCAATTAAATTATGCGGTCGGGGACTATTGAATATGACGCAACTAAAGCTTTGCGAGAAGAGAAAGCAGTCATTCCCTGTCAAATGCACTAAGGGAACAACTCAATTTATATTACGCAAACTGTTAGCTTTTCTCGTGAAACTCAATCACCGCGACAGGAGAACGAAGCCCATGTTTTCTGAGAGTTATTCCGAAACACCGGACGCACTTTGATGGCGCATATTACAGAGTACTTACTATGCCACTCAACTTTCGGAAATTTTTTACCATGCAATTTTCATTGAGGAAAGTTCGTGTGTAATTTCGTCATTTTAATACACAATTTTCAGGTTTTTTTTATCTTAAACGTTATTTTTTTTAAGAGAAACGAGAGCTCTACACCTTTCAGAAAAATCGAGGAACCTTCCATTTCGTGATTTAAATCAATAAATGAAATAAACCTGTACAAGCCACCTTGCTTCGCTCCTCGTTTAGGGTAAATTTTCAGTTCGCAAAAGTTGAAAATGGGTTAGTGATTTTACGCAAGTACTCACGAAAATTCTCAAATTTAATCTTAAACAGATAGCATTTATTTCCCATACCATAATATTGAATGTCTTGATCCTGAAACGGTCTGGCTCGGAAAATTTGAAAATTCCATTTTCTTTGCGGAAAACAGGTTTTTAGGATCATAAGCATATTTTACTATTTTAGTCAATTATTTAACTGTCATCTCAAATTGAGGAGACGGGTACGAATGCTCGATGGTTCCGAATAGCGCATTATTCTCAGGTACAAAAACTTTCATGTTGTTCTATCAAATAAAGAACAGAAAACGCTTTCTCTTCTGCTACGAGGCTCTTTTTGAGAACTGGGCTGAAAACATGCTATCATCAGAATGAAGGAGAAATTCAATTTTTTCATCTGTACTTCAACCACTTCACTAAGTCTTCGTGACTTGAGTTGTTTAAAAAAAATTATTAAAAAGCCTTTCTCAGTTGTCTCATTTGCCTAATTGGATTGCATTTTGCCAAAAGAAACCAGGAGCATTCCAATATTGTTAAGATTACAACTTACATTCTCTGCAAAAAATAACTGAAATCATGCCAAAAATTTACAAAGGTAATTTTTGTCTTGAAACTATAATTTGTTAGGAGTAAAGATAAAACTTGTTCAGATGATCAGTTCATATTTGCGAGGTAAAAAAAGTTGCGCAATCCAAGTGACATTGGAATGCTCCTCGTACCTTTTTGAAAAATGCAATCCAGTCAGGGCCGGATTTACCTACTTGCCGCCCATGGGCCGCTATTATTTTGCCGCCCCCTTCTCATTCGTTTTGAAACATCAATGAAAACCATCAAATGAACGTGCCAGCGGGGGAAGGGTGCATAAGACGCGTTTACTGGTGTTGAACACATTTTTTGGGAAAGCCCCGTCAACACTACTAGCAAAAGTTCACGGAACTTTGCGCGAAAGTTAAGTTTCGTAAACCTATCTCTGTGTGGACAAGACCTTCCATTCATAAGAAATGAACGAAAAAATTATGAAAGAACATACATAAATGTGGATTAATGATTTTAACTTCCGCCGCCGCGCCTCGCAGACTGCACTGTGTTTGACGCAATGCGTGAAGTATTCACGCAGTCTTGTAGGCGCCATACATCTCACGCTGATCGCACTGTGTTTGCCGCAATGCGTGAGGTATTCATGCAATCTTGTAGGCGCTATCCGTCTCACGCAGTCCGCAATGACCGCCCCGTGTTTGATGCAATGCGTGAAGTATTCGTGCAGTCTTGTAGGCGCTAATATGTGTTACATGCCGATCGCCGCGCCGAGGGCTTCTCCTTTTCATCTCAAGTCCTCGTCATCGTTTCTCTCTAGGTAAGTCGCGCCGTTCCAGGCCAAATTGCGTGTTTGGTTTCTCTCTTAACTCGACTAATTAAAGGTTCTGTCTCTTGTATCACTAAAAGACGACAAAAGTAGAAATTACTATACTCTAAGAAAATTAGAGATTTTGTCGCCTTTTTTCGTTTGTACCTAATTTTTTTTTTTTCTAAATCCGAATTTTTTTTATACCTACATTCAAAAAAATTGCAAAATTTGCCGCCCCCTATAGATTTGCCGCCATGAGCCCGTGGCCCATGTGGCCACCCCTTTAATCCGGCCCTGAATCCAGTTTTTCGCTAGCCGGCTAGTTAAATATTTTGCGATAGTTGCATTGCAATGCCATTATTGTCAAGTAAAAGCTGCATAGATGCACCCATCAATCGCAGATTTTTTTTTTTTTTTTTTCGGGAAGTCGTGCGGGTCAAGCGCGGGAAATGTGTCCAAATCCCTGTTGGTCTCACCCTTAGCTGCACTTCCGGCAGTCAAACGTGCATACTTGTTTTCCCAAATTTACCATTCATACATTAATCGTATTTGCTCGTTGCGTCGGATGGCGTCTGTTTGTTTACCCATTCGCGCATTGGCCCCAAATTAATTCTCTTTCGTCGAGTGAAAAATGGGAGAAGGTCACCCTCGCCCGATGACCGTTGATCGTGGTCCGCTCATCAATTTACTTTCGAAAGCTCCCCGCTCCCTCCGTCCCGGCCTCGGGCGCTAAGGTTAGGACCCTGTCGCCAGATTTCAAGGGAAAAGCGGAGCATCATAACGGGAATGGCGGGTTTTCAAGACGACCTGACAACGAGAGCCTAGATTAATACCTCGTTTGTAGATTCGCACGGAGGTGATCAGGGCCGGTGATTGGTTGCGAGTATGAATAATAATTGGGCGCAATTATGTCCGAATTTTAATCAGAGCCCGGCTGCACCCGAGGCGAGGGCGAATCGGTGGACGGTGATTTACGGGAGCCCATTTTTCGGGTCCTCTCAGACACCCTCTCCACCGACCCAGTGCCATCTCCTATGAATAAACGATTCTCGGCTCACCCAGATTCTTTCGGATTTCAGTTGAGGCAGCCCAACGGAGTGAAATATAAATTTCCTTTTCTACCCCCTGTTTTCTTCCCCCTATTCCTCCTCCCTCCTCCCTAATGGCGTCAACCACTTGTTACATCCAAAACTTAGTATATTCGACCATTTCCAGTTGATAACGTCATTAATTAATAACTATAGGAGACCGGGTTAATATCCCTGTGCTAACCAAGGAATTGAGAAGATTCTGGCTACTTACATATTATAGATTTTATTTGTAGGTTACGTTAGATTGTATTTATTGATAACGTCATATAGACACCCGTTTGTGACGTCGTCTGGACGAACATTAATGACGTCAAAAGGACATCCATTTATGATGTCATCGGGACACCCGTTGATTCGTTTGAGGCAGCCTAATGAGAAAGTCATAATCATTTAATTTCCATGTATTACATTTTATGATAGACTGATTTAGTGCACGCAGTAAAAAATATAGCATGCATCGTGAAGTTCGACATTCTGCGACGATCGCTCTAAATGCCGGGACGTATAAACTACATGCGTAGACAAGAAATCCAAGTAATAATGATAGATAATAATGCCGACTAGTAAATACGCCTATCCACCCATACGGTCAACGTATTTTCGTCTACTTAAATTGTTTTTTGTCTGCTTTCGGAGTTTGAACTCTCGACATTTAAATTCATCCCAGGGAATGTCGACCTCGACCATAAATGTCACGATTAAGGGGCTTGGAGGACAAGCTGCATAAGTGCGCAGTTATTGATATTTCGAAAAATGAGTGTTTAAAGTTTAAAAATTACATGGATCCTTCTGGCGGGAAGGAAGTTCAAACTGACTTTTTGATGCTTCAAAATTGGAATTTGAGCTAATTTTTCACAGAATATGCATTAAGGCTAGTTTGATCTAAGATCAGTAACATCTCGTCTTTTTTCAAAAACTGCACATATGCGTCATGTCCTTCAAGTCCCTCAATTAAGGCCCCATTTGACTTTTTTTTTACTATTGGGCAGTGCCATTTTTGCGACATTCGACCCATCGGTTATCGAGGGTGCCAACTGAAATAATGGAACATATCCTGGTTGTTTTAATCAAATAGTGCTCACTGAATCTCAGTAAGGGGTAGGCCCGCAAAGATTAGGGTCCTGTTCTATCCGATATATAACAGCACTTACCAAATACACTGAAAAAAAAAAAGATTGGTAGAATTTACCATTCCTTTACGCTGTATTTCACACAGCGCCATTCAGAGTCAATATTCTGCCAGAAAAAAGTTAAACGTTACTATGTACTGGTAGAACCATTCCTCTGGCAGAATCGACTTTGAATTCACCCTACGTAAAATACAGCGTGAAGGAATGGTAAATTCTACCGATCTTTTTTTTCGGTGTAGATTTAATCAGAAATTTTTCGTGGGCAAGATAAGGCTCATTTTAAAAACCTCGAAAAACGGCAGCATTGAAACTGCTCACATCAGTGGCTCCTCCGCATGCCCCATGCTCACCTCGGGGATCATAGGCGAGCCCCCAACTTGTTCCCCTCTTCCCCCGGCGGGGGGGGGGCAGGAGGGGGGCTGGGAGCCGGTGCGGTGAGCCTCACCTAGCTGGTCGTCCGGATCGAGCTTTGTGTTTACAATTCAGTTCTTCGGCAGTATCCGCTCTCCGCGGTTCCGGGCGCTGCGTTATAGCATGTTTCATTCCCACGTGGAGATTACGTGTTTTTCGTTTGTGTTTCAGTGCTCATCTAAGATTGTTTAAAAATAATTTTCCGACGTCTCCGGAGGAAATAGATTCCTGCTTCTGTGTTTCGCACAACTATCGGGTTAATTTTCCAACTTCCTCGTTCATCGATTTCCTCACGGATTGAAGCTGTGAATTTTCACCCTATGTTTTGAACGTTTACGCTTAGCCTTTCGAGCTATGACAATACTTTGAAAACAGTTGTGTCGGTTTTGTAGATGTTTTTTTCTTGTATCCTCGTCATGAACATCTAAGTGCTTAATTTAACCTTGGTATTGAGTGGTAAAAGTTATAAACGAGGAATTTTCGTCAAATTTTATGTGGATTGCAAAGCATCATTTCTTTCCGCTGAAAGTGCGAATTGAAAATTTTTTGGATCTATTGAACGGTGACAAATCGATTTTTGGAAGAAAAATTATTTTTTTGTTGTAACACTGTGCCCTATGTAAGTGAAAAAGTGAAACAGGTGCCCTCGTTTTTTTCGTGATTTAAAAAAAAAAAATAATTATATAATTGCAATTCCTCCCTAGATTGAACCGGTTGAATTGTATTTTTAAAGCTTTGTACTTTTTTGTGCGGATTCAAAATCTTTTGACGAAGCAAAAGCTTAAAAATATCGTAATATTTGGAATAATTTCCCTAACTGATTATTCCAAAAGTGTCTACTGTTTTTTCGAAATTCAGCTCAAGCTCAGGTTATAATTTGCATCCCCTCCCACTTCTCGGTATATCGTGTTAAGGGTACATCTCGGCAGTTTCAAAGCCTCAGTGTGTTTAAAGTTTCCCAAGCTCTCAAGTATCAGAAAAAGGGCTAGAAAGGAATTAACTTAAGCCCTTCCCCTCCGTCCGGATATTAGACTACTCGCCACGTAAAAAAGCATTTCACAAGTTGGCCCGCCCAATTGAATTTTGCACCTCGGAGTTGTTATCTTTTTTAAATAATTTCGGATATAAAGTTTAGGATTGGATCCGAAGATTTGATCCGAGCGAGTTTGGACTCGAGGGAAGTTGAAGCCGGTGCAGCTTTCGAGCTTTCCCCCGGAAAGTTTCTTGCGACGGGAACTTAATTCAGGTACGTGCGACGTCACTCTGTACTCTTTGACTCGATTTATGTAACGATATTTCCGTCTGATTAAATTTGTTTGCTTATTTTTCGCTTCATTATTTTCTTGGAGGGGCGTAGTACGTCCTTGTCTTTAACTTCGCTGCCGTCTTATTTATTCACTTCGCGCTCCTATTGTTTTCATTATTTTTTTTCTTCGCGTTTATTCTGGGACTTCTGAGCTTTTCCAGAGCTTATCTCTTTAACAGAGGAGCATATTTTAATCGCTGATAAGCAATTAAAATATAGAAGCTGTAGATGACTCAACAGATGAGTGCAGCAACTAACAACAACCCACGTGCATTTCGAAAGAGGTGAGCAAAGCTCAAGTGCCTTCAATTTCGAACATGAAACACGCACAACCGTGAAACACGAATAGTTGTATCCAGATGCCACAACTAACTCAGGTCAAAATACTTCGTATGTCGAGATAATCACCGACTTGAATCAATCTTTCTAAAATGACTTAAGCGCCAGAAATTTTAATAACGAGGAAAACAATGAAAAACTCTCTGTCGAACCGTTTTAAAGTTCAGAGCTCGGAAACATTAATCCATTAATTAATTAATCACATTGTCATAAAATCTTGGGTTTAAAACGGGTCTATTATTTCAGTTCCTAATGTTTTTCTTGTGTTTTCTCTCTTTAACCCTTATAGGAATGGCTGATTCAATTATTGACTTTAGAATTATTAGTCAGGGATTTGCCCTCGTGTCACTACCTGGTGGCGCTCTTAAGGTGCTCTGTTGGTTAAGTGCTACAGCTGGCGAGTACTGTGCATTTCTGGAGAAGTGAAAAAAGCGATAGTGCCTTCAATTTTGAGCGTGGAACACGAATAATTGCATTAAGGAGCTACAGTCAACTCACTATCAGTCTAGTCTTTCTAAAGCGGAAACGCCTTCAATTTTTGAATATGCAACACGCACATCCGTAGAACACGAATAGTTGCATCAAGGCGCTACAGTCAACTCAGTCTAGTCTTTGTAAAGCAGAAACGCCTTCAATTTTTGAATATGCAACACGCACATCCGTAGAACACGAATAGTTGCATCAAGGCGCTACAGTCAACTCAGTCTACTCTTTTTAAAGCAGAAACGCTTTCAATTTTTGAATATGCACCACGCACATCCAATATACTGAAAATCTGAGCAAGATTTTTGTGTGAACTTTTGAGGAAGATAAAAATAAAAAAATACAAAGAATAGGCAAAATGTTTCTACGGATCTGGGTGTTTCCTTGGCAATTTTATAACCACCTAGTGCGACACACACCCACAAAAAAAGTACGCAGATAAAAAATTTAACACATAAGTTTGGTTAACATGGGAGGTAAAACACAAAATAACTCAAGCCCTCGGTCGACTCTTAAGTTTCCCGATCTCTCCATTGCTTTTTGCGCCAAATTTATTTTAAACTGTTTCAAAATCAACACAAAATTTGGGTTGGTTTGCGTTTCACTTCCTATCTTAACTGTGTGTACTACTTTAAACGGTGTGCTCTCTAACGCCGAAATTCATCATAAAAAACCGGGATTTGGAACGAAAATAAAATTCTGTGACTGTAAGAGTTAATGCTCTCAATATCCCTTGAATTGGCAATCCTCGGATTCTCACCGTTGTAGATCCTTTAAGATGAACCGCCACTCAAGTCTCTGACGGGCCATACAATTCTTATTAATCGGGTGAGTTGCCTGTTGTCGGCCTGAGTTGCTGTTTTTCTCGCTCTGAGCGATGTTTCGTTGATTTGAAGAGTTTGTTAGACAGCCAAGGACCGTGTGTAGACGAGTGATTCTATCCGTGGGTTCCGCGAACAATTCCGTCGTGGAAATCCGTCTGCCGCTGCTGATTGAAACTGTCCAAGACTCCGCGAGACGATCCGCATGGTTTTTCTCATCCGTGCGTCTCGGAGACGTTGTCGACCATTCATGAAATACTGTTATTTTCATTATTACTCGGCTCAGGTACCCATTGTAAAGTGCGTGGAAAAGTATGAGAATGATAGTTCCTTGGTATCTTTGCCTGTAGCTAATAAACTTTGCCACGCGGGAAGGATAGGCTGTACACTGTTAAAAAGTAACGATATTCTGTTCTCTTACTGGAGGCAAGACGAGTCTATCGACTCGTAGATCTAGTCAGTTAGTTAGCTAGTATAATTTTAAGACATTCAGCGTCTCAGGCTATTAACGTCTTTACAGATAATTTTGAAAATGGGAGTATAAACGAAAATTTATATTTTTAAATTAAGAGCGGTGAAGAGTTTTAGAATTATGATGGTAATATTGGGTTCATCGCATGTAAGAGGGTTTGTATTTCTGTTGATTGTAGGGGAGTAGATCTGTAATTGGGTCAGATGAGACTACAGCGTAACGGTAATGGACAGTCTAAACGAGGAAATTATATGTCTTCATGAGGAAGAGTTTGATAAATTGAGATACAGTATTTCTCAGAAACAAATTTCAAAAGAAATCGAAGAAAAACCTATCTGAGAGTGAGTCTTGTGACGTTATATGCTGGCATTTCCTATTTAAATGCATGAATTTTTGTAGATCCGACACTCTCAGTCGTAATTTGGAATTTTTCGTGTTTTCCCATATTCTATTTACACGTAGAACCTTTCAGCTTATCACATGGTTTTTCTGTGGTTAAAAGGAATTCAGAGCTTTTCATCAAAAAAAACTGAAAATACATGACTTGCTCCAACTGAACATTTTATTTAACCAGAAATCTATGAAAAAGTTCGTTTAAAAAAATTAATAACACGAGTACGATCGAGAATGAAACATTATACGTTTAGAATGTCATCGGGTTGTTTCTTTTTTGTTGAATCTACATGGCTTTTGGATTTTCATGATTCACTACTTCATCCCACTATCTAAGGACTGGATGAAAAGAGTACATATATTAAGCTTTTCAACGAAAATTGTCTTTAGTTGGAAAAAATCTATGTGCGGTCCTCTAAAAAAATGACATTTCGATCAAACTCAAGCACATTTCTGATGTCACATGTCTGAATTTCGTTTTCATATTTTACTTCAAAACTTTATATAAATCTATAAAACTGCCGCATGAAAATTTTCGAAACATCCAATAATTTCAAAAATTGGGAAATGGGAATCGGAGAATGGGAATCGGGAATTGGAGAATGGGAAATTTCTGGCTTATCCATAAAGTCACCTATCTGCATAGAGAAAGTAATGGCAAATATAGTATTTTTAAAATTAGTCAGAAATAATAATTCCTTCTTACAAATTGCAGTCCATTTCGGCAACGGTTGTGTCATTCCACTTTTGTTCTCGTATCTATTGCTGAACTGTCCACTATACCGTCAGAAATTCTGTTGAGCTTTTCCTCTATCAAGAGACAAGATCAAATATATTTTTGAAACACAACCACGGAAGGAGCCATGATGTTGCCACGAAGTCGCAGGATGTTCAATTTTTTTAAAAATAGCCCACGACGTTTGATCATACAACATGCTCTTCTCGACGTGGATATCAATGCAATTTCTTTAAACTTTCGAAAAGTTTCCATTGCAGATAAAAACCAGAAAAAAAAAGAATTACTCGCCGAAATCCCCCATGATATTGAAATTAGACCACATATTTTAGAAAGGGGAACCATTGTATTCCATTGATTACCTGGACGACCTCCTAGGAGATGAGCACAAAGCTGTATCTCTTCTCCTGAGTATGATTGACGATTTTATGCTATTTTTATCGATTTGACGTGTTCTCTAATCTAAGTGATTTTTAGATTTTTAATAATTATGTATAGTTTTTTGTGCTCGCTACTTGATGTACTGACAAACAGGGCTATGCCGTAGTCGTTAGAAGAAGAAGAAGAACCAGTGTAGAAACGTGTGCGTGTTCCAGTGGCAAGACGTGAATGATCGCCAATCGACTTTTCCCCACTTGATGCTACGATAAAGGATCGATTAATAAGGTGTTTGTTGCAAACGTCCTGTTTACCGATCCGATCCAATAGGTTTAAATGGCAGATCAATCGATGTATCGCGAAGCGCGCCACGCCACTGACGTATTCTTAGTGTTTTCCTATGCAGCCAGGTGTACCTGCGTTATAGAGAAGCCAGATAGTCTGCACTAGGAAAAAAGTCACGTTTTTTCCCTTCAAAGTCATATTCCGTAGAGAGAGATTAACAAAATAGGAAGTTTTGAGATCATCTCCTGGACGATGTAACAACTGGACTGCATTTTGAAATTTGGAACTATAGATTCTGGCTCATCTGAAAAAACACTTATGTGCATAGGGAAACCAATGGCACACATACGTTGTTTTTAAATCGGGCCAGAATTTATAGTTCGAAATTGCAAAATGCATTCCAACTAGTATTTATAACGCAGATCGAATGGAAGTCAGATGATGCGAATGACGTTATCTATATTTTTGCCATTTACCCAATTTCAATCGGACTTATTTCTGCTGAACAGAAATACATTCGAATGGGAAAGATATAGGGCATGCTTTAGAGAACTGGATAAGGAACAATGTAAAAGTAGACGACGTAATATCCTTTGTGGAAATGGAAAAGCGGGATTTTACATTATACCAAACGGAACTATACAAGCGCCAACTGTATGCAGCACTCATGACTCATGAGCCGTGGGAATGTCAAAAGAGCGTTGTGGACAGGACTCATCAATTGGACTGCATTTTGCAATTTGGAACTATGAATTCTGGCTCATCTGGAAAAACACTTATGTGCATAGGGAAACTAATGGCACATACGTTGTTTTTAATTCGGGCCGACATTTATAGTTCCAAATTGCAAAATGCAGTCCAATTAAAGACTCCGATCCGTGGATCGTTGCCTCCGTCGTCGCTGCTGACGTCACTGGCGCTTCATAATTCCCATTCATTCTTACGGCCCTCAATTATCGAGCACATCTCTTCTTTTTCACCTGTCTCTGGCTCCGTTTGGCAGAAACCCGTCCGATTGTAAACACTTATGTCT